GCAAACAGAAACAATGTTTGTCAAACGAACAGGGACAAAAGCCATAGAAACTTGGTGATAACATCACTTTCCCCTCTGATAGCATGGCAAGTATTAGAGCCTGATCAAGCAAAAAAATTCTCATCATTTCACAGTCCAAAGTTTGAGAATATCACCCTGGGCTTCTCTGCTTCACAGGGGTCAGTAACTATACAAGCGCTGTGGGGCCTCCACGTCACTCTGTGTTTGGTGGCAATGGTCCTCATAAACACTTGGTTTATGGATTTCCAGGGGGTGTGGGTGGGTGCTCTGCTAGAAGCCAGAGTGTTCTTTCCAGAGCCTAAATTGTTCCTGTGAACCCGGGTTCATGTTCCAGCCTCCTTCTATTTTTTTTTATTGTTTTTTGTTCTTCATTTATTTTTTTCAGCCTCCTTCTAATTGTAAAGATTTGTTGATGTTCCCAGAATTAAGGCTGCCCTAGCCATGAGTTTACCCTGCCTTTGGATTTCAGCCAATAGTTAGTAACTAAGTTCTTTTCATGGGTTGTTGTGTGTAACCCTTACGACAAGCCTCCATACTGGATATTACAATTGTCCTCACTTTACAAACGAGAAAACTGAACTTCCTCAGCTAATTAAGTGGTAGATCCAACACTGTCTCCCAGGCAATCTGCCTCCATGTATGATATGGGTTGGCTATCCTACTCTGAAGAATAATGGGTGGAGAGGCCCAGCCCCAGAGTAACAGCAAGCTTATTTAACCATAGACTCTGTTTTGGTTTAGAATATCTATTAATATATGTTGTGAGAAAAAATTATCCCAGTAGGGGCAAAATTTTATAAAGTATCGTAGTAGAATTAGTTTCAGAGTGTAGCTAAAGGAACACTCACTCACCAACCCTACACGCCCCTTGGTTTACTTGCCAGGCTTCCACACCCCAGTTTTACTTGTCTGGGGTTTCCAATCTGGCCATATGTTGGCACTTAGGAACTTCTCTCCAGCACACACTAACTTTTCCAGAGCCATTCCTGCCACCACGCCAATACAGAAAGGCCATCAAAGTCTCTGCCCATCTGTCTCATTTAACTTCCTAGTTAGTCCCGTGAAAAATCCTGGAGCAAAGATTTGATTGTTTTTTGGGTTTTGGGTTTTTTTGAGAAAGCCCAGACAAGTAAAACTCTCACTCTGTTGCCCTGGGTAGAGTGCCATAGCATCATTATAGATCACAGCAACCTCAAACTCCTGGTTTGAGTGATTCTCTTGCCTCAGCCTCCTATGTAGCTGGGACTACAGGCATCTGCCCTGATGCCTGGCTAATTTTCTATTTTTAGTAGAGATGGAGTCTCACTCTTGCTCAGGCTGGTCTCGAACTCCTGAGCTCAAACAATTCTCCTGCCTCAGCCCCCTAGAGTTCTGGGATTATAGGGGTGAGCCACCACACCCGGCCTGGAGCAAAGATTTGAAGTATGTTAATGAAACTCTTTCTATCATTGGGACTTAGAGACATGACAGGTCCTTTCAAAAGGTTGGGTGCAGTTGTTGCAACAGTTATCAGGAAGTTTCTAAAATTTATAGACCCATGAGATTTTTGGTCAGCGTCACCCATAATCACACTCTTCCTGGTCATTTTGATCTTTCTCTCCTGATGGCTACTTTTCATTCCCTCGGAGTCTCAGGATCCCGAAGTGGAGAGGTACTGATGTGAAAGTCATTATAAAAAAAGGGGGGGTGAGGATATGAAATAGATCTCCATCGACCATTTAAGGCTCCCACTCACAGACATAGGAGTTTAAGTGTTTCATTTCCTACATATACCAGAGGGAGGACAGGAGGAAGCCTGAACAACCCAATGTCTGCTCTCTTTTTGAGTTTGGTTCTGAATTTTTTCTTAATGATCTGAAAGGCACGATTCGATGCTATATAACTCATTTGGGCCACCTTTTCCTCCTGATGGCCCGGCCCTGTCATTTGGAAAGTTACTGCATGCAAAGCCTGGTCGGGAATTGATCGTGTGCTCTGATGTAGTCCCTTTTTTTGGCACCAAGAAGGAAGGGGCAGTGGCACTATTTGGCAAAGATGTTCTCGGAGAGAAAACCTAGGTGTTTCAGGAAGTATGATTTGTGACTCAGGTGGTAACAATCATAATATTTAGCATGTTTATAATGCTTGGCTGTTTCAGAGAGCATTTCACTCATTACAATGTTGCCTAGTGCCTGCAGGGAGTCTCCACTTTCATGAGGCAACTAGGACACAGAAGGGTGACGTGCTTGAGGTCACATCAAGAATCTACAGCTGAGTCAGGATTAGGTCTTAAGTCTTGCCTCCTGTGCCAGGTCTTTACGAGACGGCACTTCTTTTGCCAATTGCTATTCCGTTTCTCTCCAAGCCAGGCCAGTGGCCGAAAAATAAGTAGAGGTGTGGTTGTTTGGTGAATTTACTGAGGGCCTGTGTAATTTCAGCTTCTTTGGTGATGGGGAGTTAACTCCAAAGTTGGTTTGCTCCTTGAGGGCCAACTCTGCCAAAGTCGAATGCCAATAAGAAGGGGCTGCATTCAGTGTGTCTTAAATGATCCCTTTGTGTGGTTTTTAAAAAAATCAGTTCCAGTGTGAGGCATCGTAATACATCTGTGCAAGAGAGTATGATACTTTTGAGAGGGACAGGAGGGCATGCGTGTTTTGTTACTGAGTCTGGGTTTGCATGCTTCTTAATTTTTCTACCTCAGCTAGCCTTACCCTAGTTTCATTCTAATTTTCTTAGCAATTTGTCTATTTTGCTCTACCTATTCTTCTTGCTACATCTATTTTTCTTGATAATTTGTAATTTTTTTTTGAGACACAGTCTCACTTTACCCTCCTCTGTAGAGTACTGTGGCATCACAGCTCACAGCAACCTCAAACTCTTGGGTTTAATCGAGTCTCTTCCTGGCCTTCCAAGTAGCTGGGACTACAGGTACCTGCTACAATATCTAGCTATTTTTAGAGACAGGTCTCGCTCTGGTCTCAAACCTGTGAGCTCAGGCCATCTACCCAACTTGGCCTCCCAGAGTGCTAGGATTACAGGTGTGAGCCACCACGTCTGGGCCTACAAATATTTTTAAAGAAACAGACTATCCAAGAAAGAAAGAAAGGAAGGAAGAGAGAAAAAGAGAAAGAGAAAAGAGGGAGGGAGGGAGGGAGGGAGGGAAAGGAAGGGAGGGAGGGAAG